AAAACGAAGAAGTTCCTCATTGTGCGACATCCACTGGAACGTCTCTTATCCGCATATAGAGACAAGTTGGAGCATATGCAGAATCGCGAATATTATTATAAACGCTTCGGTCGGCGCATTGTACTCAAATACCGTGAATCCGGTAACACGACGAGATTAGAACCAACATTTACCGAATTTCTACAATTTATAGTCAATGAGAAGTACTTTGACGAGCACTGGGTGCCATATTATCGCACCTGTGAACCCTGCATGATCAATTACGACTACATTATCAAGTTCGAAACCTTGGACAGAGATCAGAACTTTTTCATACAGGATGCCAATCTGAACGGATACCTATATGAGACAAATTATCCGCGAAATATTAATCCATTGGGTACGACCACCAGGAAAATACTAAATGAATACATCAAGGAGATACCGCGATCGCTTCTCAATGAGGTTTACAAAATTTATGAAAACGATTATAAATTGTTCAACTATTCGTCTGTTTAATATTATCAGTGTCTCTGTTGATCAGATAACTCAGTTTTTACATGACGTTTTTATACTGACAGGTCAAGAGATAATAAAACTTCATGAACATTTTAAATGTGATATAATGTAAGAACTTATTAAATTTTTTTCATTTTTTTCAGATTCTTAAAAAAAATACTTTATTTGTTAAAATGTATGTTGAATAAATGTCATTTTAAAAAAATGTGTTTTTGTTTCTCTTAGATTTTAAATCCTTTGTAATAACATTGGGACTTAACAAAGAAAGACCAGGACTCGTTATCAAGTATTGCATTCCATTTATTTATTGTGAAAGAAATAATGAAAAAGTTATTGCAAAATATCTCTTTTATAACGTAGATATTCTTCCTAAGTTTTATTTAAATCAAACAAATATTGCAAAAAAAAAGAGAAATCTGATTCAAAATGAGGCAAGCAGATTTTTCAAGCGTTTTAGTTTGTATTATTCTTCAGCTTTTCCCTTCACATATTGCACAGAATTTGCAGGAATATCGCTGCAAAATCTCTACAATATTGCTGCAACATACAATGTTGAAGGAATATTGCAGTAGTATTGGTGCAACTTTTGTGTTGTTCCTGATATAAAAAGATAAATAAAGATTCTCTCTATCATCTTAGTGTTTTTAAATAATAATTATTATTTATTTAAAAAGTCTAATGCCGAAACTGTGAAAAACTATTCCAACAAGGAATCTCTCTGATCTTTCCAACATTAATATTTACATTTAAACATATGCACACATCATTGTATTATATAAAGTATAAAATAAAATAATTTATAACTAAAGATAACACTTACTCGTCCAAAACGGCGCATGTTTCAACATCGTAATGATATATAGCTGCAATATCAATTGCGGAGCAGCCCCCATAAACGACTTAAACAAGTGCAACATACATACATCGCTTTCTTGCCGATACACCCAATTCTTGTCCTTGCTGAAGCCGGACTTATTTCTCAAAGAGTGCATCGCAGTGCAAAGCAAGGTCAAGTACCTGAAAATAAATATAAATTGATAATAATTTATTATTAGTAGAGAATATATGCTGTGTTCGTACACATTAATTTACGAACAATAAATCGCCAGAATTTATGGAAAAAACTGCGCAAAAATAAACATAAAGTACCTGTGCAAAAAGCCAAGTAGGAGGATGTGCAGCAACCAGTGAACAGTCCGTAGGGAACCGTCGCTGCGATGCCATCTCAAACTAAATAGTTGGGTAACACAAGCGGGTAAGACGGTGAAACCCATTGCAAAGCATCCCCACGCTAAGTGGCCTTGCAAAAGGTATTCCACACATACAATGCTGTCTGTGTGTGCGAAAAATATCTTACAAGGTGTTCGGTTTACGAAGACAGAAGCTTTCCCGCGCATGCTTTGAGCAAGTGTGCAAAAACAAGTTTTACCAGTATGTGACATTTAGACGATTTCAGCACAAAAAGCACATTGAAAGACGTTAGCAAAAAGTATCGCGAGTTCTATCACATATAATTATTTTTAGTGTTAATTATAATTATAAATGTAAAATATAATAAAGTTATAATTAATATTAATTATATACAAATAAAAAATAATTTTTAGAATTATTTATTTTGTTAATTATAACTATAAGTCTAAAATGTATAAGTTCTTATCTCCTCTTGCTATTTTAGCATTAAAAATGCAACCGTATAGAATAATAAAATTATACTCGTATATATATATATATAACGATATAATATAAAATATAAAAATATAATTAAAAAACTACAATACTCTGTTTTAGTATTTATTTTAAGATTTTATTTGTAATCCCGATATACATGAAACTTTAAGAAAGACAGATTGTGATACAATATTCTTTCGAAAAGTTATGATTTTGCAATCGTGATACTTTTTGCTAACGTCATTGACATAAACAAAGCTAACGTAAGCATACAGGGTGTCCCGCGGTCTCAAATTTTAGTGTCAGATTTCACAAATTAACTTACCGTGAAATATCGATACAATTTCTTATTCAGCGCGATTATTTTTTTGCAATCATCAACATTATATATATATATATATATATCTTTGGAAAATGGAAGCTCTAACTAAAATTTAAATTCTGCGTTTACTTTACCTTCGTTTGATAAGTACATCCCAATTGATTGAGAATTGACAATTAAGTTATGAATACACAATTTACGCACCAACAACTGTGCCGAGACACTCCAATAGATACTTTATTCGTATTAAATTTTCAAAATTTCAAATTTTTCATCGAAGTAGATAATAATCGAAGAATACGAATTTTGCAATCGAACTAAAATTCGCTCCGTTCCATTCGGCCGCAACTTCAGAGCGTTCGATTGCGCCTCAAAAAATTATTGTATCTTATCGACTTATGAGTACATAATTTACGCCTAAAAACCGCGAAGGCTCCAATAGATATTTTCACTTGCTAGATTTTTTAAATTAAAAATTGTTTGCTTAATAGAATCAAAAATAATGAAAGAATACAAATTTTGCAATCGAACTAAAATTCGCTCCGTTCCATTCGGCCGCAACTTCAGAGCGTTCGATTGCGCCTCAAAAAATTATTGTATCTTATCGACTTATGAGTACATAATTTACGCCTAAAAACCGCGAAGGCTCCAATAGATATTTTCACTTGCTAGATTTTTTAAATTAAAAATTGTTTGCTTAATAGAATCAAAAATAATGAAAGAATACAAATTTTGCAATCGAACTAAAATTCGCTCCGTTCCATTCGGCCGCAACTTCAGAGCGTTCGATTGCGCCTCAAAAAATTATTGTATCTTATCGACTTATGAGTACATAATTTACGCCTAAAAACCGCGAAGGCTCCAATAGATATTTTCACTTGCTAGATTTTTTAAATTAAAAATTGTTTGCTTAATAGAATCAAAAATAATGAAAGAATACAAATTTTGCAATCGAACTGAAGTTCGCTCCATTCGGCTCGACCGCAACTTCGGGGTGTTTGACTGTGCCTCAAACGGACCTGTCAACCCGGATCGAAATTAGGAGAGTCGCAGGACACCCCGTGTCGCACGCACACGCGTGTACCACGTGCACGTGTGTGTGTGTGTGTATATATGTGTGTATATGTATGTGGCCACTCTTTGTTCACCTGTTGCTACGTCCGCGAGAAAGAAAGCGACCGAGGACGCGTAGTACAGCAGGTCAGCGGCGCGAAATTGGTAAAGCTCGGCCTGCCGGCGCGGCGTCGCTGCGCGCGGCTCGTCCGTTCGATCCGCTGTCGTGTTCTCAACGTCGCGCGGAACGTCGGCGCACTTCACCTCGCACGACTCCACCGCCGCCGCCATTTTCCCGCATCCTCGCCCGGCGCGACGTGCCGGCCATTCGCGATTCCCGGCGTCCTTCGGATCCGTTCGCATCCGGCGCGATGTTGCGACCCACAGACCGGCTTTCCCACTCGCACATGCGCGCTGCGCAACACGTCTACCTCCCCTTAGCTCCTGCCAATAGTCGCTTTTATCAATGACCACGTTCAAGTCGGACAAAGCTGCTAGCCTGCTTGCTGAGCGTGATTGAATGGGATTGGTTAAATCTATAAGTAACTTAACCAATCATATTGATTGGCTGCATTTAGCAGAAAAAAATAGCTTTGCAACTGTTGTTAAATTCTTTAATATGATTGGTTTTGCTCTTGGTTCTTCACTGGATTTAAATATATAAACCAATCATCTTTAAGAATTTTACAACTGTTGCAAAGCTGCTTTTTCTGTGTATATCTTGAATGCAGCCAATGGGCGAGTTCAAGACAACAAAGCAGCTAGGCATGCTTACCGAGTAATTGAATATGATTGGTCGGATCTATAAGTAACAACCAATTATGCTTATTTGTTCAGCGAGCAGACAAGTCGCTTTGTTGATTTGAGCGCAAGCAATGTACAAATTTTGATATATATTATGACTGTAACTTATTGCCGTGTCGCCAAGAGATTAATTATATACATATCATTTTTAACATTGGACGCGTTCAAGTTGACAAAGCGGTTAGCCTGCTCGCCGAGTAAATGAACATAATTGGTTGTTAATTATAGATCCAACCAATCATACTCAATCGCTCTGTGAGCATGCTTAGCTGCTTTACCGTCTTGAACTCGCCCATTGACATTTTTTTTCACAAGTTTTTCATTATTTTAACATTGACGTCTTTCGGAAAACGATGGAACTTATAGTAAATAAATTATGATATTACATGATAATGAAACATATTAAATAAAAATACAACTATATTTTTAATTTTCTGTAAACATTTATATACATTTTTATTTGACACGTACTCATTTAAGAAATGGAATGGGTATGGCTTTCTCTCTTGTTACGACTTTATCGACAGTTTCGTAAAATAAATGTGGAACTTAGTTTCCAGATCATTAAAATGGACATTGGTGCGCTGGTGTACGAGGAACAGAAGATTGAGGAGTGATTGGACTTCGAATTTCGGAGTCGAGCAGACAGCATTGACAAATGTGGAATGTGGATCTCGCCGAAGGGCCGAAACATGGCGAGCTTCGATGACTAGACGGAGTAGGTGCCATACACACATTCCTGATATCCCGTCGCGAGTCATTGTTCTGCCCGGCGATGGACCGTGAAGGATCGACAGAATATTGTAGAATATCACGGATCCGTCTTCGCGGCATCTATTAGATCGAGAACATTGCATTAAGAATCTTCGATTGTATTTAACCTTCGAACAACAACCGAAGTTTGAAAATTGACGAGACTTTCGTACGTGCTTTGAGAGGACTTTACGCTGAAGAGGGGAAACATGAGAATCTTAATTACAGAAAATGTCTCGTCAATTTCTTTCAAAGAAATGAATATGGTTCAGTTGTTTCTGTAATTGTTACGAGTGTTATTTTTAATTTGCGCTGAAGGTAAGTTTTGAGTCTTGCCAAGCATGATTAAGCAGGACGCATAAATTTTATTGACCTTTAAATTATAGTATATTTAACAAAATTATAATTACATATATATATACATATTATATACATTTTATATTATTAATATAATAAGCAAAATATTTAAACAGGGTTGGGTAGTGTTAAGTTAAAAAGATAAAA